TTGGCATGTAATTGGTTCTTAGATGTTTAGCCATTTATTATAGTAGAAGTTAAAGAAAGGGTTGGTGATTGTTAGATAAATTTAGAATGGGATGCATCAGTGCATGAGGATGGAAGAAATTTCTCACTTGATATGCTCCACAATGATTACATTCAGGATATGACAGGAAAGTAACTCTCAGAAGTGGGATGAAAAGAAGAAAAGAAAACTTAGCCTGTATTTGTAGGAAGAGAAATGCAGGTAGATTGATACTATTTTCACTGTTTATTGATCTCATTAAAAGCAATAGTGGAATGATGCCTTTGAGTGAAAGAACATTATGTGGAAAATACAGTATGTTGAAGGACCAAGTGAGGCTAGCAGTCCTGTTCTGTGCCAATTTACTGGGGTTTTTGTATTGCTTATATGTTATATTCAAACAATTCCACTTTGATTGAGTCTACTATAGGGAGTGGAATAATGGAAGGCTCCTTCCCTCCCTCCTTTAGTTTGAGGTTTTTTTCTGAAAGCACTGAGCCAAGGAGCAACCCCTAGTGCACTAGTCTGTGACTTGGGTTTCTGGCTTGTGCAATTTGAGTATTGGCTGATAGGGACAAAGTCTGCTCAACTGTGAAACTGAATATGCCATCCTGAAGCACTGTTATGGTCAGAGCTGGTCACTTCTTGTTGCAGAGGGTACTATTTCTTGCCTTTCTTCTGTTAGGTACTTCCACGTATCAAGAGCGTTTGGCCTAACCCAACCTAATGCAATTTATGAATATATAGAATTCATTAGGGAATGTCCTTAGTTTGTTTTTTTGCAGTCTGTTCCTCAGTCCATGAATCTCTTGGCAGGTACCAATGAAAGAATGGACCAACACAATCTTAAGATATAAAGTCGTAGAAAACTTTAAGTTAGGATGGACCTCTGGAGGTCTCCAGTCCAACTGCCTATTCAGAGAAGAGTTACCTTCACGACCAGCTCATTTTGCTCGGGACCTTGTCCACTCGTATTTTGAAAATCTCCCTCTTAATGTCCGGAGTTTTGCTTGCTACAGCTTGTACCTGTTGCCCCTCTTCCTGTCGTTATGCACTTCTGAAAAGACTCTCTCACTTTCCTCTGTAACCTCGCTTTAGGTAGTGGAAGGCTAGTAGATAGCCCCCAGTCTTCACCAGGCCAAACACATCCAGCTCCCCTAGCAATCTTAGTGGTCCTCCATGGGAATCACCCCAGTTTGCCAGCAAGGCAACGTTTGACTGCGAGGTTAGCAGAACAGCTCATCTCGACAAGACAATGCTCATTAGTGAGTGAGAGTTATGGGATGATCTTGTAGGGGTTATAGGACGCTACAAGGCAAAAATCTGTCAAGATTTTGGCTGCAGCCCACTGACCAGCTTTGACCTGACACTGTGCAAGAGTATTTCATGGACTTTTCTTCTTATAGCTGCCTCTGTGGTGGCTGCTAACAGCAACAGTATTGGTATCAGCCAGTGTGAGCTGATGAGATGTCCTCTTCTAGATCTAGCTGTACTGGTGGAAAAGAATACCACTCAGCCTTCGTCTGGCTGCTGCAGGTTGCTGCCCTCCAGGATCTGTCAGCAAAACTGCAGACCTGCTTTCAGTTAAGATGAGGTGTTTTAGCTTAGACAGTTTAAATAGCAGGTCTTTGCTAACAAGCTTATTTTGACTGAAATGGGTTAGGGAATGCTTGTGTAGCCAACTCTACCAACAGATCTAAGAAGTACGTTTGCAGTGGGAGCAAAACATGTACATGAATCTTGCAGTTCTTCAGAACACTGCTGCATTTTGTTTGTTGCATCTCTCCAGTACACCTGGAAATATGTAGCACTCCTGTAGCTGGGAAATGGTATATGCTGTCCAGCATGCATATTCATGACTTCCAGTTCTCACTTTGCCTTGGCCAGGTAGTTTGGTGCCCTTGCACCCTCTTTGTTGTTGGTAGCAAAATGCATCTCCAAGGAGGAAACTCATGGAAAATAATACTGGGTAAACTATCTTGGAGGGCTTTGTGTTTCTTGGTGATAAAAGCTTTACATAGACAGAACCACAGTGTTTTGAAAATCTCAATAGTGTTATTGAGAGCAGCTAACAGGTCTTTTGGGTCATTCTCCCCCCTGCTCGTGTGTTGTTCCCGGTGGTATAGTCTTCACTGTTCAGCCATGTTTTGAATCACTTGAGTCCACCTACCTGTTCTTGGCTGCTTTTCTCTCTGAGTTAAGGGAGTACTTGGAGCAAAAAGAAAATCAACAATAACACCCATAAAGAGTAACTTCACTCAGGCAGTAGATCATGCTTGGGTATTTTAAAAACAGAAGCAACTGTTCCAGAAAACTATGAAACTGCTGCTTAGAGCATAGCTTATGCCTTTCCCTGCCATAAATGAGCCCTTTGCTGCTACTGGCCGTTACCCGATGACTTTAGTACACTGGTTGTCCAAGTGATAATGTGCATATTCCTTCCCTGCATTAACAGTAATAACATGTAATGGTCCCAGCAGTTCAACTCTGGTTCTGGTAGCCATGTGGAGGAAGAAAGCATTTCCTTTGGTGACTTCCACTGGAAGTGATTTGTTGTTACTGGAGGATCTGCTTTGAAATTTGTGTATGCTCACTTTAGAACTAATAAAAGGTATGCTCTGAAATGTAGCTCTCTAAGAGTGGTGTCTGCCCTCCCCCCTGATGTGTCTAGATATGCATTTGGTCAGGGATCGTAGTTTGGGAAAGTAACATATGCCAGTGCTGTGCTGATGCAAGCAGATTTCTCATCAGTGCTTGTTATTTGCAAAGACAACGTGGAGATAAGGGAGGAGGAGGAGAGGGACTCCCAATTCACATCCATTGCTGGCATCAGAGAAATTTTATTTTGGAGGTTTTTGCCAGCACTTAAAATCTAGATGGGAGACCTATATCAAAGGAAAGTTTACAGTAAGAGCTACGAGATTCCAGACAATTAAACTTTATTAGTGTGTCTGAAACATTAAGTATTAGCTTAAAAGAATAGTTTTTTAATCTCCTCTCCCTGTTGCTGTTTACTGTGTAGCAGTGTGGGAGGGGAGCAGCTTCTCCAGCAAGGTATTATTGTTGCTCTTTGTATAGCCGGTGTGCAAGTGCCCATGGCTCAGTTCGGGCTCCCCAGTCCCTGGAGAGACTCAGCATGTTACTTCTCTGGTGTCTGCAGCTTTCTCTGGCCCTAAACCAAAACAGCCTTCTCCCTTTCTTCTGTGCCTGAGGTAATATCCTTAGCCAGGTGCCCTCCAGGCTGACACCGTATCACAGGTACTTAGATGGTACCTCTGAAAACTATTGGCCCCCCAGGATTTCAGAAAGTCCAGCAGGTTGGGCAGCTGTGTCCAGCATAATTCCAGTGATCTTTCATCTAGATGCATCTGTCCTTTCTTATCAAAGTTTTTCTGCAGTGTGATTAGAAATCAGATGTGAACAAGCAGCTAAAAGCCCCAGCCCCAGGCAAAATTACTAGTTCCTTGGGTATCCAGGGGACTGTTAATTTCAGTGTGAGCATGTATTTTGAATTTTCTCTTGAAAATAAATAGTAAAGATGCTGTGGTTTCTTTCATGGTGCTTTCTTTTTGACTCTCAGATGTGATTGATGATCATCTACTTCTGGGTTATGTTCGTTTTTCAGAATGTTTCAGTGAGCTTTGCAGCGTGGAAACTAATTCAGTACTGAGCGAGTAAGTCCATATATGTGCTAAACCCATGGTTAACCTCACAGAGACTGTTATGTGAGATGGAGGCGGACAGAAATGGGTAGATTCTAAACTGAGCTTTTAAAATAAAAGTAAATGGAGTGAGTTGTTTAATGACCTAGCCATTGTAGCTTTGCTGTCAAGTCAAACACTGGAAAAGCAGGTTCATCCTGCAAAGGAGAAGAATGAGGAGTCGACTGCCCTACTCATGTCTTTCAGGTGCTATGGCTCGCGAGATCCTGCTCTTTATGGTGAGACACCCCCTTGCCACCCCCCAATTCTCAAAGCAAAGGAGCTCTTTAATAGGAAGCTGCCAATAAGGAGCTGCAAAGGACTTCTTCCCTCTATGCTTAGCCTTGGCAGTCTGGGAATCAGTTCTGCAGCATTTGGTAATTACAAGCCTAAAAAAGAAGAAGCCAGACATAGAAATTGAACCTGTATCCTCTTCATTATGCTATTACCGCCTCTAGGCTGTGCAAACAACACCCTTTCAACAGGATTCTCAAGTACTAGCTCTGCCCTTTAGCATGGAGGCCTGGCATACCTTCTCAGCTCCATTTCACCATTTTTGTTACATTGCTACATTGGAGTGGTATTGAGTGGTACTTCATCATGGGCAGTAGCAAGCAATTTCATGGCCACAGAAGTAGCTTTGGAAAATCCAGCCGTGCTGAGGTTCTCTGGCTAAGAGCAGCTTTACAGGCATCAAACCGAATCATCTCACTGCCACACTGGTACTTTTTAATCCCTGTGCTTTTCCCACACAGCTTCTAACATGCTCCAAAATTCATAAGCTTTGTGCCACTGCTGAAGCCGGTTTCATGTCTGGATTCGCTGTTGTGGGTATTTTTAATGTGGTTAATCTTGAAGAATATTCAGGATATAGAGACAAGTGTAGCTTGGCTTTCATTGTGAAGTTCTCATCTTCCCCTCCCCACTCTGGACATACACCTCCATGGTTCCTTTCTTTGTCATCACATTGCTTGTGTTTTTTTCCCCAGTGTCTTTTATCTTGTGAGTAAAGTTTGAACAGTACGCAGAAAGTTAACTGCCTGGAGTCTTTTAAATATAAGTAACACGCACCCAGTAATAAGCTGTCGGTTGTTTTTTTGCTGCCTGCAAAGAAACATAAACACAGCGCTCATTTCTGGCAGGTTTTTACTGTCAGAGTTTCTCCTATTATATTTATCTTACAATTTGCCAGGGGGTGAAGTTATTAAGTTTTAGCAGCAGCCATCGATCAAGTTCACAAGTTAACACGATAAAGGCTCTGTGCCGCTCCGATCCGGGAAAATGATGATCCTCACTCGGTAATTAACTAAATGAGAAAGTTAAATCTTACTTGAGAGCTGGGAGAGATGAGAGAGAGGTGTTTGTCAGTTTCTCAGTGGAAATTAGAAGCAGTTTTCTGCAATTCCCTAAGCTGCTGCTCTGTCATATTTTACATAAGCACTGGGAAAACGTCTTGTAATTAGTGCTGTCATGGAGGATTTTTTTTGCTGAAGGATGTTGGAATAATTCATTAGATTATCAAGAAAGGCTTGTGTCCTGAAATGATTAGCACAGTGAAATTTAAACCATTAACGATAACAAGTTTAGAGCTTGCTGCAGTGCAGAGGCACCCGGGGTATGTCTGTGCCTATTTCAATCATTTCTTATAATTAAACATTATGTCCTCTTTTTTCCTCCCCTTCACTAAGACCCATCCAAAATTTCTGTTAAGGTGGCTCTGTCTAGATCAGTGACTTAACCATGACTGGCGGTGCAAGCAGTTGGAGGGGAAATGCTGCAGTTGCAGATAAGCAGTAGAAGACCTCTCTCTGCGTCAGAGCCTGTAGTCCCAGGAAGTCCGGGAAGGAAGGGAGAAGCCCAGTATGACTGTTGGTACTAGAACGTCAAAGGGAACTGCCTTCCTTTTGTCTAGAGAGAAACTGAGAAATTTGCAGAGGTGATTAAGTTTTTGGTCTTTTCAGAGCTCCAGCATGAAGATATCTTGAAGGTTCAGAAGGTCCCAAACCTTGCTGGGATCATGTAAGCCATTCTTGATATTCTAGGAGACAGCTTCTCTTTTTCTTTAAGAGATGTCTTCTTACATTAAGAAACATATAATCTGAATTCATCCACCCGCTAGAAGGTGCCTTAACAAAGTCGTCTGCAATGATTAGAGGACATGGTGGTTTTTTTTAAAAAATACATAAAAGTTGTGACCACTCATATGGGTGGGGAAATACCATACCTATACTAGAATCAGAGAACTGTGCCCGTGTTTGCTTTTTCTGTGCTTTAGGAGGATCCTTGGTCCCCTGTACTGAGCAAAACCAAAAGTAACCTTGGTTGTCATATGTGGGTTACAGCTGTGATATACCATGGCCGTTCTGTTTTATATGCAGAGCAGTAGATTTATCCAGGCTTTATTTATCTGTGGTGAAATATTGCACCTTCCTATAGTTGCAAGCCATTATTTAGATTAAAGTCCTTTCATATATTAGTCCTCTTCTACTTCACTGGGCATACAAATGTGCTTTGTGTTAAATGTAGCCATTTGGAGAAATGGTCTTGTAATTATGGGCTGCAATGGAGCATGCTACGTAGATCCCTGAGCTAGTACCAACCTGAGGCTCTCAGTCCCCTGGGTTTCCTGGCACAGCTTACTAGCTCAGGCACACCGGTGTAGGAGGACACCTCTGCTGTTCCTGCGGATGAGTTGCTGTGCCTAGAGCCAGCTTGGGCACCTCTCAGCCCTCACTTAAGGGGCTTGTGAAAGGGGAGTCGGAAAAGCTTTATCTGTTCCGAGTTAGTAGTTTACTCTGTTATACCCGAACTTCCTCCCAGGTGGCAGACTACCAGTGCTTATTCTTCTTTGCCACTTTTGGAAGTGAAGCTTATAAAAAGCGTAACCACACACACTGGATTTGGTTCACCCTAGCAGTATGGATGCCATGTGGAACAGGTTTTTTTTTTGCTTTTCAGGTAGGGCCTGTTTATTGCACCAGGAGAGGGAAGAGGCTGTAGATGATTGTGTGCTCCAGGAAATAGTTGCTGATATTGTTCTGAGATGGTTTGTTGTGAACTTGAGGCAGTTGATCAGAATGGTTGAGTCATCAAGGTTTCTCAGGAAGCAAATCGATTCATTTACTGATAGCAACCACCCCTTCCCCCCGCTTTAATAATACAGATGCTTGATGTTGTTTTGTTGCTGGCCTTTTTTAATAACAGGCCTTTTTCACTGAAACCCCAGTGGATTTTCAGGAATCTTCAAATTGAAATTCTGGAATTTTGTTCTAAGCTGTAGCTACAGAATTTCTGGGGGAGACATGGGAGCATGTATTGCAATGGAGTGATTTGTGAGCCCTGTGAACTCACCTGTCTCTGCTCTGCAGAACTGGTGTGTTCGTGGTCGGCCCTGTCCTCCTGGTCCCCTGCTTGCATAGACGACAGGACCTGCTGGGCACACCATGGCTACCTCTGGGTTTGTCCTTGCTCCTTTTGATAGGAAACCAGAGCAGGCAGGGGTGCAAACCAGGTCTCAAGCTGACATTGTCAGAATGCGGACAAAGTACGCACATGAATCTGAAAAATACAGTGTTCCTCTGCCCACTAATTTGGACATAAACACTGTAACGTGTATAGTGCTTTTCTTAGCAGATCCACTATATAAACCTGGAGTCTGACTTCCAGAGCTGTTACAAGTGTTGGTCAATGGACTTTTTAATTTACTCATTATTTCCACCCAAGAGGCCTGTATTCACTTGGGATCCAGGCAAAATGGGTTGTTTTGTCCCATCTAAGCCATCTGTTTGTACACACATAAGCCGTTACTTGGTTTTGCAGATGTTGCAGCTTCTCTTTGATACTCCAAACCAATGTTTTAGAAGTAATTGGGGAGCTGAAGGCTGCTGGGAGAAGGGTGCTCAGGAGGCAAGGAAGGGCCGGAACGTGGTGGCACCCCGTGAAAGGAGTTGCCCCTTTTGTGGTCTTTGCACATCAGCTCCAGCTCAGCATATTAGTCAGACTTCACAGTCTCTCAAATTAAAAGGCAGAAGTATAGGTTTTTTAAAAATGCTTTGTAGAAATAGCCTGTTGTGAGATTGGCTGCACAGCAAACAAAATGAGAAATGAAATGAGATCAAGCTTGTAGAATGCATCTCTCTGCTGTCTTAACCCAGCATTTTTACAGGAATGTCTGTTTTGCAGGCAGCTTAACTGTAACAAAAATGACCGGAATCTCTTAAGACCAATGTTCAGTGCAGTCCATTGGTAATTATTTTTTGGTAGGCTGTTGCCTACCGTGGACTTTGCTAGAGTAACTCCAGCCTTTCACACCTAGGACTTCATGTGCACAGTCCCTTTAAAGACTTCTCTGTATAAAAAGTTGGCCCGAGAGAGTATTTCTTTCCTTCTGCCCAGTAACTGGGCCTGCGACTCACCTAAAGTCAGTGCTGTCCGTGTGATGACCAAATGAAAGTGTAGCTCAGTCATAGCCCTTGTCTTGCATGATACTGGACACACGGAGAAATTCGCAGGGAGGAGTGGGGATAAAAGCAAGGCTGAAAACACTGTGCTGTAGAATTGAGCACTGATGACGTGATCTCCGTGTTCTGTGTTCTCAAAGAAACTTAAGTCAAACCATAATTCAGAAATAGAAGAAATTGCTTGTTAAAAATTACAGCTAATTACTGTCTTTTTCTATGCTCTGTCCAGCTCTGCTGGAAATGCTGAAAAGGGTATTTAGGTGGATTTTCTCTAGAAAATTAAATGTAAATGGTGACTAGTTGAGTAGATTTTCAAATTACAAGGTTTTTGGTGTTTCAAAGTCAGGATTGCTGTCAGGCTTGCGGGGGTGTTGAAATACAGGAATGATTTAGTCCTGAGAAATGAGGAATTCCTGCATTCTAAACCCCATTTTGGTAACTAGATTTTGTGGTCTCTAAATAACCCACTGTTTTGTCACTTGCTGAAAAAAGGCTTTTTTGTTGTTTTTTCTTTTCCTGTAAAATCAGTTAATCCATGCATTTCTTTTAGATCATTAGATACTGTTGCAGAGATATTTAGGTACTCGTTTTTTCCCTTAAAGTTAATAAAGTCTCCTGGTGAGGTTGATGCCTGGAATTATCATCATAGAACAGAAATGTGGCATCCCTAAGTAGATGTTTTGTGTATTCTGATATCTGATTGTTTCTAATTATTTGATAATAGAGAACCTCTAAATGTACTTTGTAAATAAAAATTATGTAATAATATTGACTGCTATTATAATGCTGTCTGATGTTAAACCATTGCAATGAAAGAGAAAATCACATGCTTTCGGCATTTAATACAAATTATTTGACCAGTATGAGAAAAAAATAATTTCCCAGCAAACAGTTAATCTTACAAGGACAAAGGATATCCTTGCAATGCAAAATGTGTACTTTTATTCCAGTTAAATTGTTTAGAAAGCAGAAATTGTATCTTGCTATCAAGTAGTAAATTGAAATGTCAATGTTTTGTTTTGTGCCTGAAACTCTTCTTTGAGCTCAGTCCTTCTGACAAGATATTAACAGTGCTCAGAAAGTTGAAAATCTTTTATTCTGTGAAAGGAGTATGTACCTAATATCAGGGTGTGTTTTAGCTGGCTTTGCTCTCAAGGTATAATGTTATACTCAGAAGTAGTACTATCAGGTTTTTTTCTCATCCATTTCATGCATTCCCTATGAATTTTAGCAGCAATCCATTGTTTAGAAAAGCAAGAAAAAAACCCAAAATACAAATGCAGTTTTCTGTTGGTGCATTGAAGTAACTGGTGGCTGTACATTAGGAATCCAAATGCATTTTACTGTCTGCAAGATGTAAATAAAATTGCGTTTATGTTAAATTGCCACTCAAGGTTTCCCGTCTAACCAGAGTCCTTTGTGTGCAGCTCTGGCGTGAACCAGTGCATTGTCCTGCAGGGGTTACAGCTCGCGGTGGCTGCGCTCCGACTGACAGCACCAAGTGGGATACATGGCCTTGGCCAACTTTATCTATCGGAGTGCTTTTTTCCTTCTGCTTCCCCCACCCCCAAAATCGTAAAACCACTTGAGCTTCTTTTCATACGTGTGATTTGGGTTGTTTCTCTCCTTCCTGTTTACAGACAAAACTTGCCAATGGCACTTCCAGTATGATTGTGCCCAAACAAAGAAAACTGTCTGCAAGCTATGAGAAGGAGAAAGAACTCTGCGTCAAGTATTTTGAACAGTGGTCCGAGTCTGACCAGGTGGAGTTTGTGGAGCACCTCATCTCCCAGATGTGTCACTACCAGCATGGACATATAAACTCATACCTCAAACCCATGTTACAGCGGGACTTCATCACTGCACTGCCAGGTATTTCTGCAGGCAGAGGGAGCTTGCTCCTCCATCTTGTCTTTCAGAAAACTATTCTACTCTGGCCTACCCTGCTGGAGAGGTTTCTTCTAGGGTCAGTTTGCAAAATAGATGATAGCTTTTGAATTAAAAGCTCTATACTGGTATGGAATGTAGTAATATTTTATTTTGTATTCCTACCATCTTTTGAGGCATGATCCAATGCCACCACGGTTTGGCTAGGAGTAAATGATAGCTTGTATATGTATCGTAAGGATAGTCATTGCAAGCCGCAGGGCAGGTAGTTGTACTCATAATGCCCACAATGATGCGTGAATAACAAAAATTTTTAAAATTAAAACTACTACTCTTTCTGGTTGCTCAGCTGAGGTTTTCCCTGTTCTTACTTAGATTTTTTGTGTGTCTCCTAGTAAAATACCTTCCTGAAACTATCGCTTTGATTATGTGTTTATAGCTAATAGAGAATGGAGGACACAAGATCGATGGATGGAAATGTGCTACTTTTTGCACCTCTGTAGTGCTTTCCATTGAGACTATTATCCCAGCTGTTCTCAGGTGTGGCATTGGTATCTCACAGAAGGCACACATAAAGTAGTGTACGTGCAGTTTTGTATTGGCCCTGTCTTATAGATGGGGAGACTGAGGCAGTGGGAGATAAAATATATACAGCAATAGAGTTTTCGAACCAGACAGAAATTCCTGGCTCTTTGGTGGTTTTTTCAGACCATTAGATCGCACCTCTGTAGATAGATAGATAGATAGTTAGTTAATAGATTAGCATTCCCATGGCATAGGTCCTTGGTTTGAAATGGACCTGAGCAAGAAGTGCTAAGGGTGTTGTCTCTAAATAGGTAGTTGAAGAGAGGAGTTTCTTGCCCAAAGCTTGGTCTGTGAATACCTTTGGAGAACTGCTGAACTCTGACAATTTGTTCAATCAAGTCATTTCATCATTCTTCAGAAGGGATTTCTCAACATGGAATTAAGTTCTAGGGTTCAAAGATAGAAAAAAGCATGTTTAACTGTGAATTGTACAAAGCGTAAAGGCACTGCAGGAGTTTTGCCATGAAGTTAAATATGTTGACTCACTGGATTTTTAAGCTCATTGTGCCCAGTAATCAAATGGCTGTTGTAGCATTAAAAAAAAAAAAAAAATCTTAGTTATGCTAAGCACCTGCTTTATGTTAGCTTTTAGTAGTCCAATGGCAATAATCTTGTGTACTTAGAGCAGCATTATAACTTGTGGAGCTGTTCTGTTTCAGAAAAATAGTGAGTATTTCGAAAGAGTATTGGTTTCCCCACTTTTAAAGTGGAAGTATATATATAGTTTCATACACAATTTTTCCAGGTCTTTCTCCACAAAACTCCATCAAAGCAAGCCAACACATCTCATTTGCCCTTGCTTAATTACATCCTATATGCTTTTTTCTGAAAATTTTGGGCAAATCATGTTATACATATTTTCAGAGGCATTCAAAATTTCCTAGCCATACTATATTTGTTAGTGGTCTTTTCACAGTTACCCAGGAAGCAGCTAATTTTACTATCTCGGAATGCAGAACAGATAGGAATTAGGCAGCTAGTATGTGAGTATTTGAATAGTTGTGGGAACTGTGTGCTTAAATAATGTATGTGCATCAATTTGCATATTTGCAAAGTGCTAATGTCCTAGTGAATGTCTCTAAGGGAGAAAATTAATGGCAAGGAATTACACTGGCTCAGACTCTGCAGTCTGTGCAGGATGTCCTGAGTATAGGCAGGTTTCTAATGAGAGGAATGGG